CCCCCCCACACACACACACACACACACACACACCACCAGCACCATCTTTAAGTACTGTAATGGATTAAATGTGTCACTGTACACCTCTGGCTGTTATTTCATTGGTCTTGTTGGACTCAAACTCTTTCTACAAACTGAAATTGTTTCAAGAGTTATTTACAGCAGGTAAGATATTAACTGTTATTAACCTTTCCACAGAACCACAGGTAAAATGCCCAACTTGTCATTTGATGGCAGAAGCCAGCCGTCTAGCTTCCAGGTGTGCAGCTAGCTCCTTGGCTCCCAGTTTCCCTCTAACACGGAGGCCCTGAGGGTGATTCCTGTGCCAGGGTTTGGGCTCAGCGAGGCTAATTGTGTGTGGAAATGTAATGGCTGACCTCGCTTTAATTCCCCCTACACTCCACTGGATGCTGGAATGTAGGTGATAGGACAGACAGCAGCCAGAGCTGCTGATGTGGAAAAGCAGGAGGTGATGAAGTGTGAGTAATAAGGGAGATTGAGGAGAAGCTAAAAGAGAGGAATGTGTTTAATTAGGTTGCTAATGAGCTTTTTAATGCATCAGGGGAGGGCAGGCCCAGTGCTGTGATAGGCGAATGGGTAAGGGATGTGTGTGTTTGTGTGTGTGTCTGCATGTTCCGTTGGCGTTGTGTGCCGATGACATGCCAATGATTAATTTATGGCCTGATCTGTATGCAGCAGCGGCAGTGATAGATGGAGGAGCTGGGTGTGTTTGTGTGTGTGTGTGTCTGTGTGTGTTGTCAGAGCATGATTTAGGGAGCGTCTCCTGCATTTCGTGTGCACGTCCGGGGCCGCGGACGGCTCGCTGCTGCTCACTCGCTATTGGCTGCTGAGTGATGCTGGGGCAGATAAGGGACAGAGAGAGGGGATATGAGATGCTGCTCTATCTGTGGAGCATCTTCAGCTTCAGGGCTGTTAAAAACAAGGACACTGGCCCAGGAACAAAGGACGTTCGGACACTGTCTGCAACCTGTTTTTTTAAGATAGCGGAAAAATACGTTGAACTTTTATTAAAACTGGAGGCGTGATGAATAGATTTAGCCGAGTGTTTGAGTTGTTTAGAGCAGATGAAGCTGCAGATCAGCAGTTTTAAAGCGTATCCCCCTGATGTTCTGTTTCTTAGCATCTACAATCAGAGATAAAGTAGCTAAGTACAAACACTTTGTTATTGTACTTAAGTAGAATTTTTGGGTATCTATACTTTACTTGACAGTCTACTTTTTACTTCTACTTCTTACRTTTTTACACAATTATCTGTACTTTCTACTCCTTACATTTTTAAAACAAAGAAGAAGTAGAAAGTCAGGGGCGGATCTAGGATTTTTCTGAGTAAGGGGCCATCAGGGGGCCACAATATTCATAGAGGGGCCGAGTCTTTGTTCAACATCATTTCACTCAAATTCCCAGTGTATACATTTTACACTTCAAACACTTGTAATGTAATGTATTGTTTTTTTAAAGTTACCACTTTACAATAAGGCCCCCCTTATTGTAAAGTGGTAAAATGGTACCAAAAATCTTGCACAGTAAAATCTCCTCACCAGTTTTTCATACATTATACTTTACAAAGATAAAATATTTTCAAACACACATGTGAGAAAATCCAGCCATCATTTGTCAGATGAAAGAATTTTTTACAGGATTGTTCACATTTTAAGAAGAGAAGAAGAATTCTGTCAGCTTGATTCATTCAGGACTTTATTATTTGACTCATTAACACAACTAGTGTTTGAACATGGAACTGCATCCACCATCATCACTCCCAGGTAGAGGACAGATGAGTGACAGGACAGGGGCACTTCAGGGGGCCAATCAGATTTCAGCTGGGGCCAATGCCCCTGTGGCCCCGCCCCTAGAACCGCCCCTGTAGAAAGTTGTTACCCTTTTTTTCCCATTTTTGCATGTTATTGTGAAAAATAAATACTATCCATATAAACTGTGCCTCCTAGATAGAGTGAATTTAATTGTGGTTGAATGAGAAGTATATATATATATAAAATTCTGATACCGTCACACTCCAGCAGGATATACTAATCATTAAAATAAAAGGACTGTACTTAAGAAGTATTTGTATTTCATGAATTATATTATTGTATTTGGCTGCAGCCCTCAGATAGATTTTCATTTTGGAGAAAAGCTTTGTGCAGCCTTGATATATGTATATAAACTGAAACAGCTGGACTAGTGCATCCTAAATTTAACATTAATTAATTATTTTAATACAACAGTCATTTCTACATCTTTTGGGGAGGTCACCGCCTAATAAATGTCCTTACAGAAAATCTAACTGCTCATTTTAAATCAATAATTTTACTTTTAATACTTAAGTAAAAAAACACATCAGATACTTTAAGACTTTTACTCAAGTAATATTCCTAAATGAGACTTCAGCTTTTACCAAAATAATTTTTTGGTAAGATACTTGTACTTTTATTCAAGTATCACTTTGTGGTACTTTATACAACACTGTGTACAGTCAGAATCTATCTGCAGAAATGAGCTCTCAGATTAAAGCTGAGCACTTAGCGAGGTAGCAGTGACTCGTAGCGTTTGTGTTTAAGGAGCAGTGAACTTGTCGCTGACCCATGTTGTGTTGTGTTGTGTTGTGTTGTGTTGTGTTGGCAGGGACCTGCTGCGGCTCGGAGGAACGCTGCCGGGACACAACAGGAAGAGCCCGGACAGCAGCCAGGAGATCATCCGGCAACAGATGAGCCAAACTCTCCCCATCAGAGTGTGAACTGCTGCAAACTGGAGGGAAGGAAAAGAAAAGAAAAGCAATGGCAACTACCCACGCTGTGAGCCAGAGAGCCTGATGTAAATTTCATTTAATAAAACAAAAAAGAGAGAGAGAGAGAGAGAGAGGAAAATAGAAGATGGAGGCCCCGGCTCTGTGAAAGTGGACCCTTTTTGGACATTTCTTTCCCACCGGAGACTTAACGTCTGTACAAAGAGAACTCGCCATTGCAGTGTGTGTTCATTGACACTTGTGGATTTGTGACTGTTGACATGAAGCCAAACTTCTTCTTGCTCCCTCTCAGGTTGTGTTTTTGCATGCCTGCATGTGTTTTCTACTGGTTGGGAATCCGTCTGTCCTCCCGTCCTCCCAGGCGAGCTCCCAGAGACGATTCAGCGTCGAGGCGACGCGACAGTGCCAAGATGAATAACTTCAACGCAGCTTGACCTCTGTATGATTTCACATCACTCCAGACTTTTCCGCTTTTTTTTCTTTTTCTTTTGATCCCAACCAAATATATTCTTTAATATTTTGAAGGAGAAAAAACAAACAAACAAACAAAAAAAAAAGCTCTTCATCTGCTTCCTCCTAAAAAGTGTCTTCCACTTGTACTGGGAGATATGTGTGTCACAAACCTGTACAAAGCCTCCGAGTCTTCACACCGTCCCCCCGTCAGAGGGGACATACAGCTGACACTGTGCGGGACACGTCATGTGCATGTCCCCCCCCGCCCACATCAGAGGGGACATACGCTGTGCGGGACACGTCATGTGCATGTCCCCCCCTCCACATCAGAGGGGACATACGCTGTGCGGGACACGTCATGTGCATGTCCCCCCCCCCACATCAGAGGGGACATACGCTGTGCGGGACACGTCATGTGCATGTCAAAGTGGAAAAACCTTCATAAGAAAAGTTCGAAGTTCCACAGAAACACTGTTGCTTTGATGCATCGGGCTTTAACGCCCACGTTTTCCTATTCTTCTTTGATTCATACTCACATTGTTTCAAATGTTATTTTCTGTGAGGGGTTTGTGTCTTTTTCTTTTATTTTCTTTCTTTTTTCTTTTTTTTTACTGAAGCTTAACTTTTTTATTACACTGCTTGTTTTTTTCTGACATTATAAGAAGCCGGACAGACAGGAATGAGTGAGTGAAAGAAATGTTGCACTCAGACAGGTTAATTACCTGTAAACCCACTGAGCAGACTGTGTCAGGGCTGCTGTCAGGCTTTTATTCAGGAATAAAAAGCGCTCCTGGCAGGGCCACATCGTGCGTTTTACTCTGGAAATCTCGTCTCAGCAGGATATTTTAAAGGGACACGGTCACGTTGAAGTGTGTTTCTGTGTAAAAAATGCTGAATAGATAATATCTTACCTGTCATCGAACAACCTCAGTTTGAAAAAAAAAAATACAGTTGCGCCTGTATCTCACTGGGCTTCAGCTGCAGGTGACGTGATGTGAACATCTTTAATGAGGGAGTCTGAACTGCAGCAACTCAGTCAGCTCAGTTTAGTTTGGAACTCCAGAGCTGGGTCGAAAAATCAAAACAATCAAACCAACTTGAATAATTATAGGTACAAAATGTAAAAGAAAAGTGGATGAGGGGGTAGAAAACGTGCAGCACACAGCTTATCTTTGTTTTTATATGTGAAGACAGAGGGTACAGTGATGATCAATAAGCTCAAAAGATCACTTATTGATTTAGAAATGATTCTGTTTCCTCTCGGATTCACTCAGAAGTGCTTCATGCAGTTCTTTTACTTTATTTAAGACCTGGAGCTCACTGTGAGAAAACACTTTCCTCTTCCCGTCACTTGTGTGCCTGCTGTGTGTGTGCTGGACGTTCACGTTTAAATTGTGCAGCAGACAACTTTGTTCTGCTGCAGACTGAGTTCAAGCTGCTCCCAGCCACTGAACATGTTGGAGCTCTTTGTCAATCTGACGCAGAGACTGAACAGCACAGCTAGCTAAAATATTAGCTTTGCTAAATCACTAAACAGGTAAGAAAATAGACCATTTCGTAGGTTGCTATTAAAACACCGTTGGAACTGAACATATTTAACCTGTAATTTACTGTACATCGTCATGCAGAACTGATGTACTGGCTCTAAACTGGTTCATGTTAAACTTTACTTTTAGATCAAAGAGGACTTTTTTCCAGATATCTAAAAGCTATAAATCAGTTTTTTTACCTTGTTTTTGTAGCGTTTTTGTTGCTACAGTTAGATTATATTGTTAGATGGATACTGGCTGCGTCCAAATTCAGAAGCTGGGTCCTCCGAAGGACCTGGCCTACTTAGACCGGGTAGGTCGGTGTGAATTTGGACGGTCTAACCTCCTGTCCTTACCCTGGTGTACGTGCGGTTGCCTAGCAAGTGTGACAAAGCTAAACAGAAGCAAAATTAGATCAAAATGAGAAAAATATGAATATATTAGCCTTATCAATATCAAAAAAACAATAAAATAAGTTTAAAGGCATTGTTTGAAGAACTAATTGACCGGGTGCATGTTTGTTTAGCTTGTTTTTAATTCTGACAAAAATAATGTTAAAACAAATGATAAAAGTATCAACAACACAACCACTTCAAAATTTTTATTTTTATACCAACAGATTTTTATTTATTTAAATTCTCTCACTTCGTCCACCATTACTAGCACTAGAAATAAATCTCCGGTCAGCTCGCGATGCATTATGGGGTATGGTGGGTCGAGAGGATCCATCGGACCCGTCCTTCAAACCGGGGCAAAAGAAGGACGCATTTGTTCACCGCATCGGAGAAGTCTTCAGATTCAGACAGCCTCTGTCGCAGCGCTGTGATGTAAGCGGCCGACAAATTCGGCCTTCTGAATTTGGACACAGCCGTTAACTACATGGGCAAAAGTCCCAACCAACTGCAGCAACATTTAGTAAAGTATTGGGTACCAGTAATACCTAAAATAATCAAATACTTTGAATATCTCGTGCTTCTATCTCAGCTTGCTCAGTTCATCTTTGTGAGTAAGAGCAGATAAAATGAACAAAATTCAAAAAGAACTGAAAACTAAAAAACAATGAAATCATACATGTCAAGTTGTACAGATTGTCCCTCAGGTATACGGACGTATAAAGCAATCTCACGGATTTTTTCAAGTTTTACAAATATTTTGAAAAAGTCAGTCTCAGATTTATTTAACGTGCCTGTAGGACGTTTTAAAGGGATCCCTGATTAGTTGTAACATTAGACTTTCTTTGATAAACATATTTTAACTATAAAATAATGACTAAAAATACTGTATGATGT